CTCTTCCTCTCCTCTCCTCTTTCCCCCTCACATGTGTTCCAGGCTTTAGGCAGTGTGTGCATCAGTTTYACGAGGAGCGTATGAAAGCGAGCAAGGAGTTGTTCTCTTGCTTATGGTCTGAAGACTTGGGGATGCCTCGTACATCAGTGCTTATCAAATAGCAGAAGATGTTAATAYACTCAGTAAGTCTTTGAGAAAGAGGTATCAGAAACTGTCAGAGACTAGGTGTCAGACAGAGAGCCACAAAGATACTAGAGATAAGTTGCAGAAGGTGTCCTTGGCTGGGGTGTGGATCTGATCYAGCAGGCAGGAAATGCCAGAATGGGGATGTTAATATATGTGTGTGAGTAAATGCACGTGTAGCTTTGAACCAGCCCTTGGGTTTGGGAGGGCTTGTCGTGTTAGGTGTGGAGCAAGCACGTCCGACTCKTTGTGTTTTGCTTGGACACCTGGCTGGGAATAGACATTGCCCCCGAGCATGAAGGAATGGCCAACTTCAGCCACAGAGTATGGYGCAGTGGGAATTCGGCCGTAGGGTGTTGCATTTAGCGAAACGTTGTTGATTCTTGCTTTTCTCCTCTTTTTTGTGAACTTCCTTGCATTTCTGATACTTATTCCCTCTGGAGCTGACCCACCTCTGTAGTGAAACAGCAAAATAGCTGCTTTGTGCTTTGCTGTGGGCACGGAGGTGCAGGAGTACGGGCAGCAGGAGCTGGCACAGCAGCTTCACCACAGTGTCACTCGGGGGCCTCGTGGAAGGATTTTCCTTACAGGGCCTCTGCAAATATGTTGGAGATGGGCCCTGAGCCTTTGGCTGGGGCTGAGCTTTTCCACAGCAGACTGTAGTAACACTAGTCATTGATCCAGAGACGTGCAGCCTGGGATTTTTGGGGGGTACAGAAACTCCCTTCTCATAACTGAGTGAGACGTGTTTTGCTTGTGACTTTTTTAGTTCCAATAAAGCAGCTGTATGTTAGTGAAAACAGGGGTTGAAACAGTACCCAATTTGTCCTCTCTTTCTGGGGCTGTGTGCGGCTCCCTTAGCTGCAGTGTGGCAGGCAGGATTCTCATTGTCAAGTGATGGAGGCTCTTGAGCAGAAGGCTGCACTAGAGAGAGTCCTTCTTACCTGAGTTTTGTGTGATTCTGACACTGGGGCTGCTACTTGTAGTTTGAGTCTGCACTGGAATCTGTGTGTAGGATGTTCGGTAGGTGGGTCACAGTGGAAATACAGCTGAGGCGGTAATCAAACCTTTATTTGCTGCGTATGTGTATCCAAAGCCAGMAGCTCACAGTTGGTTTTTAGTTCAAGGTGCCTCTGATATAGTGGTTAGAGTTCCCATTTCCTTGTGGAKGAGTAGGAAAATGGGGACTTTATTAATCCCTTTGGCTATTATATCCTCAAATTCCACCTACTTTAAAATGTGTGCGTTTGCCTCATGCTTCACTACAGCACCCTCCTGTACTGTCCTTACCCTGCCCCATCTTCACTGCTCTTCGCTCTTTTTGTCTGCCTTTTATTTTATTCCTAATGTTTTTCTGTCCCTTTCTCTCCTCACTGTGACCTTTATTTTTCCTTTTCTTTACTGATCCCGTGGCATACTCCTGCCCCAGAACATCTTAGCCAGTGCAGCTGCTGTGAGTGAAATACCAGCACGTGGCTTTGCTCACAGGGATTGCCCTGAGCAAAGGGCTTGCCAACAGATTCCCACTGGGAGTCAAAAGGTGGTACCAGCTCAGCAGGGAGTAACTTCCAGAATGTGCAGCTCTGTTTTTCTGAAGTATTAAGTTGGTCGATTTGGCAAGATCTTTGAAATGAACTGATTTTGAAGATTTTTGGCCAAACTCTTTATGGTACAGAGCAATGAAACCATTTGGGACCATTTAAGTTGTGCAGTGTTACTGGGTCTGGGCCACTCTAAAGCTTTGGTTTATTAGAACTGTGAAAGGACTTCAGAGTTTGCATTGTACGTGTGATTTTCCARTTCTAGCGTTCAGCACTATATAAGTACTTTTGGGAAATGTACATGTTTTCTCTATTCCCTGCATTTGCTAACAGCTTTTCCGTCTAGCTACTTGTCCTTAAAATTATTTTCTCCACCGGACTGTGCAAAACTGCGTTGGAAATAATTTTTGTTTTTTGAGGTCTCTAAGAAAAGTGAGGAWGATCCATTTTTTAACATAAATCGGAAACCTTGCCAACCACAATRTTATTAAATACCACTTTTCTACTTCCATATTCTTAGCAAAGTCTCTCCAAGTTGTGAAATAAAYGCCCATTTGTAAGTCTCTTAAATAGACTGTTTCATTTAACCTGCACCTTGTACATCTGTCCTGACCACATAACCTGGGAAAGAGCATTTCAATGCSTGTTGCAGCATGGTCCAGCTTCCTTCAGTGTCACAAATTCTATTGGTTTCAGTGGAAATTCAGTTTGGTCTGTGRAGCTCATGTTGTTCAGTCAGAATGTCAGTGAAAATCTCTAACAAAACCTCTGGGTATTGTTGGGAAAAACTGTTCTGTCTGTGTCCCTTTTATGTTACTTGAAGGCATCATAGGTTCACTCGAGCTATATCACTTAGGGTTTCTCAGCTGGTGTGAAAGTGCATTTTGTACATCTTGCAATTCATTCCTTCTTACTTGGCAGAAATATGCTATTAAGCTTATTATGATAGAAAAGAAAGTCTCAATTAGGAGTTGTAAATTTCCCGAGTCCTTTGAGTTGGTTTTATTGTTTTGTTTAATGACTTGGTGATGACTTAGTCCCAGTCCTGGGGATGTTTGCTCAGCGGGCAAGCCCTGTGTTGTCACAACACCAGCAGGCATCAAACAGGACCTTGTGTTTGGCGTTCATCGTGGATTGCAGGGCATGAATGGGAACAGGGAAATAACTCATTGCTGTGCTAGAGGGGCCTCAAAGAACTATCTGAATATCTGGGAAMACAGGCCTTTTTAGCCATTGCTTAATGAGCTCTTCCACAACAATCTGTGCTACTTTTTTTGTTTACAAATGTCTTAATTATTTGATTTGCTTGGATTGGGTTTTGAGGTTCAATTATGCTAAAAACAATTATTGGGAGTAGATGACAAATGAGTAGATGGGAATGAGTCTGAACTGTTSCCGTTGGTGACCTAAAGGCTGCAAAAGATGGAGATCATAGGTGTCAAGTGATACATTTCTCTCATTACCAATTTACGAAGTTACAATGAACTAAACCTAAAAGTGTTGTTTCTGGTGATGATCTCGTGGTCAAAATGTGTTTGATTAGTAAGGCTATGTTGTATCTTGGTGTCTCCAGCTCAATGTAACTCTGTGGCAAATACTCATTGGACTCATTAATTAAACCATAAAATAATGTTTAAACCTGAAAAACCCACAGTACTGCTCTGGCTCTGTTTGTTCACGTGTTTTTGGAGAGGTTTTTCAAGCGAAGCTGATTTTTCCTTTTGGGACTTTCAGTATTGCAGCTCTTTTCAAACTGCAGGAAAACCCTGGGACTTTTTTTCTTTKCACAAGCTTCTCCTAACTATACAAATTTTTACAGGACTTACAAACCTTTATTTCAAGTTTATTTTTACAGAATTTGAACTTCTGGCCCAGTGTGATGCTGTAGGATTTCGTGTGCATTTTTGTCCAGAGAAAGTCACGAAGCATAATAAGTCAGTACTGCAGTAATTAATATTAATTTTCAGCTGTTCCACAGCTGTTTCTTGTTAAGTGTGTGGTGAAAGCTGTGTGCTTGGGCACATCTCAAAAGTCCATTTCTCACAGTCCCTGCCCAGAGCACTTTTCCACGTTCTTGCTTCCCCAGAGGCTAAGGAGTTACACCGAAGCGTTTGGAGCTGTTCGCAAGTCTGATTTTGGCTTCATGACTTGTGAGGGCTGTATTTTGGATACTTGACTCTGAGATGAAATTGCGCCTGACTTTTTACTTTTATCCTGAAAAAGGGTTTGCAGCAATTATCCCAACAGTTTTACRTTTCCTGTATTCCTGCTGCTGGCGTTTCGGTCGGTTTTAGTTCAGTACCCTCTTTTTCCCTTCAACAAAAACCAAATAAGCAGCAACCTCACTGAATCTCAAGAGATGCTCCATCTCCAAAATTTACAGTCACTTTAGGAGTTTATTSTGGTGGCTGAAAAGCTCAAGCTGTTTAAAACTACATCTTCAAATAGAGCAAAGAACCTACTGCGCAAAAGCAGGTGGGTGAATGAAGTTCTTGCCTGASATGTTGTATACAACAGGCAAAGGCAGGCAAACAGGGAAGCTTTCATGTGTTCATCTAAACTACAGGGTTTTAATTYGTGGGTACAAAAATCAGTTAAGGCTTTGTGTTAATAATTCACAGGTAGTCGCTAAAATCTGTGTCATAGGACCTTACAGGTTTTCATTTCGATAAAACCTTTCATTTTGTTTAATTTATGAAAAACAAGTTCCTGATTTGTATAGCACCATTTTTTTGTGCCTTTGCTGCCTTCACCTACTGCTGCAGTTCTGTTTGTTTATTCCACCCACTTGTTGGACGGATGAGGTAAACTAATGGATATTTTTCTGTTGGGAGCTGCCAGAACCCTCAGGGAGTGATACGGACCTGAATAGTCTCAGCTGTAGCCCAGACTCACTGACAGTCTGTACAGAGCTGTGTGCGTTCAATGTCCRATGCTGTTCTGTAAACATTGAGAGATACCTCTGGAAAAATTACCGTGAAAAATTTCCATTTTCTGGGAGCAGTGGATTGTGCCCTTAAATGAGGTTTCAAGGGATTTAATGGGTTTTTAAGTTGCCTTTATGTGAAATGAAGATGAAATAACTCAATCTCACCATTGCCAATTTGACAGTATCTACTTTCTTTGTAAAAACAGAATCAGACAGCCAAAGGTTGAAAGTTTACTATTTTCATTGCAAGCTGATGTTTTTTTGTGGTGTAGGGTTTGAAGCAGTGACTGAAGTGCTGCAATCCCGCAATTGCTGTGAAACCTCTTGTCTTTTTTTTTTGTTTGCAGTCAAGCTGCAGCTTCAGGCGGAGGAACGAGGAGTGGTGTCCATCAAAGGTGTCAGTGCCAATCGCTTCCTGGCCATGAAGGAGGATGGCAGATTGCTGGCCTTGGTAAGCTGCTCTTTCCTGATGTCTCTCTCTGTGTCGGTGTGTCCTGCCCTCACTCTGTGTGCAGTAACCTCTCTTYCTGCAGGATTTACTCAGCTGCATGGTGTGGGATTTATCAGGAGAAATGAGCTCTCCACAATTTCTATTACTTGAACTAGAAACTAGGAGTTGGGTATTACCGCCCTACCTAGAAGTTGCAAAATTTAACAAGAATGGCTTGTCTGAGAGAGAAAAAAATCTCAGTGATCAGGAAATGATAAAAACAAATGGAGAATAAARTGTTTGCCTTTTTACCCTCAGGAGCAATTTCTTCCTCTTTCACTAACTTTCACATAAAATGCTTTTAAAGACTTTTTTAAAGTAGAAAGTAAAACCAATTTATTTTAAAAAATTACTTCCGTGATCCTTATCTGTATAAATTGTTTTCTCATTTTCCTCTTTGTAGAGAATCAAGCTTTTTTTGGGCGCTTTTACTTCCTAACTAGAAAACTGGCAAGAAAAACATTTTTTTAAAATGTGATGATTAAATTTAAAGTTATATAAATGTGGATAAATTAAACTGTTCTCTAGTGAGGCTAGTTTTAGTTTAAACTCTTGTGCACTTTATTGGTATCAGCTGAATTTTTAACTGTGTTTTAAAGCCAGTGTGTATAGCAGACTGAAAGTTAAGGTCTTTGAGAGCCAGATGATAAATTTTGCTTTAAGAGCTGCAGTTACGTTAATTTTGCGTATGAGACGTAGACACTGTAAATCGCTCATCCATGTTTATAATCTTCAGTGCGTGGTGAAGCACCGCTGCAGGGCATCCTCCCTGCCAGAATTTTAGTTTGCAGTAATCCTTGGTGCTTTGGTATATTGAACACAGCCCCATTCAGCCCCTGCACAAGTCTCCTCCAGTGGCTGGGGTTAACAATGTGCATTCCTAACCCTGGCTGAACTGCAGCTTATGAAGGGCCTGTGCCAGGGGCTGCAGAAATTGCTTCTGATTCTCTTTCTCTGCCTCCATGAAATGAGACTGAAAGTAGTGTTACTGAAGCAGGGCTCTTCAGGGCACTCCTCAGCTTTGGCTTCAGGGAATTTTGTGTGGACTCGTGAACGCAGTTAAAGAACCTGCTTCAAGTTACTCAGATATTATGTGACAGCTCAGTTGAAGAAAATGTGAGGAGTTGTCCACTRTGCTATTCTTGAGTTAAGGATAATTGGGAATTTCCTGTGGTGATGGTGCAGTGGCATTCGGCTTCACATTCTAATCACGCTTCTTACCCTGAGTGATGGGAATGGTCAAAATAGGGTGYTTAGCACCATCTATAAAATTACAACACACAGATGTGTTTATATTTGGGATTTTTGACCTGCTGCTGCATTGTGGATTTGGTTGTAGAACATGTCTCATTTGCAGCAATTTTAGCTGCGTAGTTCCTGTAAGRCGAAATGCTCGGGAAAGTATTGTCCATTAACTCGGAATCACTCTCAGAATAYGTAAAGTTGGGTCACTTTGTGCTTCTCACTTGAGTTTATAAAAGGTTTTTTTCCTTTGTGTTGTTTCTGGAAATGGATATTACTTGAATTGTGCTTGCAGCATACAACGTTGTTGTTATTCAGGGGTGGAAACTCTCTACCCTTTTCAAACTTTTTTTCTCCAACCAGCCTAACAAACGCTGCAATTTCATGGCTGTTTTCTGTAGCACTGGCAATGTTTTTCCGTGAGGATTTCTGTGCTGTAACTTCCAACAGTCTGTGGCTGGCTGTGCCTTTACCATGTTCTGCCTCTAAACACATTCATGAAACTGTTTCTAATTGCCAGCGTCTCTTGTTCAGTTTGAGCAGGGCTCTGTTTCACGAGAGCTTGCAAAGAGCCGTACACTGGAAATGTTTGCAGTGAACCGCACAGGGTGAAACACTGCTGAAACTTCTTTTAAAACATTATGGAACTTTAATTTMTAAACACATTATTTAGTCCTCTAATCCATCAGTCACTCAAATACTATTCTGTCCTTTTTAATGCCTGTTTTTTTAATTACTTTTTAGTGTCCAGGATCCATTTTTGTAGTGTCCTTGTTTTATAAATAAATAACTTCAGAAATACATTTGCAAATTATTATTCATGCCTGGTTTTTGTCTTGTTGGATGTTTTTGTAATTACTTGTTGAGACATACTTCAGGGTTTGTTGTGAGCTGGCCTTTGCAGCATGATTTATTGCACAGCCCCTAGATCACTGCTCACCCTGGTGATCTGCGTGGGGGTGTAGTGGGTCACGTTCTTTTCTGGAAAATCTGGATGATGCAGCGTTTAATTGAGCATTTTCATGCTCTTCACTAACAGACTTTGTTGTGGGTGAGAAGTATTCTCTACCACTGGAGGAAATGGCTGGTTATGAATGCAGATAGTCAAAACCTCCCCTTGGAAAATGCTCTTTTAACTGAAAATGTTTATGCAAAAGTGCATCTGTTCCACCACATTTTTAATGGAAAAACTGAAATATTTCATGTCCGATATGACATATTTTGACTTTCCAGTTTAATTTAAGAATTAAATATTTTCACTTTATGGAATGAAATATGATTATTTCATTTAATGAAGAAATTTCCCAAACTTCTCATGAAAGGAAGAATTGTATTTTATGATAAGTAATTTGTTATTCAAGGATACGACCTGTTCATTCTGTTGTGCTTACATGGTTTTGCTGTGATCACCCAGGTTTTGCCAGACTTCCAGGACTTGAGGGAAATTCCCGTCTTTTGATATTATGGATTCGAATTATGCTCCAAGAATGTTTCTGAGAATAACCTGCATTTACTTAGTGGAGTTCAGGTGTTTCATRAGGTGCTGTGGAAGCTTTTGCTGCCAGACCAGCACTCTGGATGCAGCCTGGACTGAAGTGTATTTGAAAAATAACTCACAGATATCCAGGGTTTTTCCAGGTGCTGAGATTGACAGTGCAGTGGCTGTCACCCTGCTCCTGCTGGACAGCAGTCCAGCTCCTGAAATATCACTTTTGGCAGATGTTAAGGAATACATAGTTCATGGAGCCTGAACTACCATTTGTCACCTAAATGATGGGTTTATGTAAAAATGTTTACATTGACAACGTACTGTAGGAATGCACTGGTGTCATTTATGCTTTGTGGAGAAATAWGCACTTTSCTTTTTTCACACTTTTTTATGGTGYTTCTGCTGAAATTTCCAGCTTRARCAATTGTACTCTGCTTAAAGCTTTTGTTCTCAAATGTTTCTTTATATGTTTTCTAAGAAGAACAAAGAATTTCACAGTAAAAGCAAATCAGAAGCTGCTTGAAGTGTGTTGAGAGACAGTAAATGAACCATAGGTAAAACCTGTTCCTATTGGTGTTTATAAGAACTTTTTCACAGTATTTTTCTTCGGGCAGAAAACAATTAATCTGTTTCTTAAAACCAAAGGTACTGTTCACATTCTTGCTAAGTTAGTCCCTTGAATGTGAAGAATTGATTTGTGCTGTTACACCAGTAATGCTTTCTCTTTTCCCTTTTAGAAATACGCAACAGAAGAATGTTTCTTTTTTGAGCGTTTGGAATCCAATAACTATAACACTTACCGGTCACGGAAATACTCGGATTGGTACGTGGCACTGAAAAGAACTGGACAGTACAAACCTGGACCAAAAACTGGACCTGGACAGAAAGCTATCCTTTTCCTTCCCATGTCTGCTAAAAGCTGATTTCTATGGCAGATTCTAGGCACAAATGCCACACAACACTAAAGACATCGCKTTTCCTATTCCTCTCCAAAGTAGCAAAACATAAGCAGTTATTTCCTGATATTACAACTACTTTTGCAGATACCAGATTAAGCCATGAATGTTTCATTCTGCCTTTATATTGATCTTTAAACCTTTTGTGCCAGTGGATRTGGAGGTAAAATGACTTGGAGAATATATTTTCAGGATCAGTAACATTTCTGTTTTCTGCTAATATCTATGTATTTTACTTATGCTTGCTTTACGGAGTAGAGGAGAAAAATCTGATACTTACTTATAGCAATAATTACCTTTAAAAATAATTTATATCTTAGCTTATTAGAGAATAATTACTTTCTAATAATTACCTAAAAAGAAGCCCATGGATAACTTAAATATGCAACACTGCAATAATGATTCTAAATTATTACCATAAGGAAATGTGAAATGTGTTGCTATCACGTCATRTTTTTGTAGGACTCGGGCAGCTCCCTGTGGTAGAGTTTGTAGAACAGGCCTGTGTAGACAGCTGGGAACTCCCTCATGGTTATGTCAATCCTATCAAACCCTTCCCGGTACCCGTAGAGTAAGAGCTTGGCCACGTTGCTGGTGATGGGAGTAGTGTTTTCCGTCCTGACCAGCTCCTCCAGGTCCATCCACTCGCACCGGAGGCACTCATGCTGGCAGAAACTGATGTGGAAGGAGGAGGGCTCCATGCGGCAGATGATGTACATGTCTGACTTCCCGAAGGCTCCTGGGTGTTCGTGTTGCTGCCTGATGCTTAGGATGGACTTGAACTCTGACTTGATGCCAGTCTCTTCAAAAACCTCTCGAACTGCTGTGTCTCCTGGRTAGGAAGAGAAATCCTTACAATATATCTGAGAGTAACTTAATACTCSTTAAATGTTTTGGAAGGGTAGAAAGCCTCTAACGCAAAGCATTCTCAGTTCTGCTTCAGAAGGTTTKCAGAATGTAAGTCTGCTTTTCCAACACAAGGGTAAGCTAATTTTTTGGTCCCCAAACAACAGTAATTGCTAAGTGCCTTTCYTGTGTGTATCCTACAGAATTTCTTTGGTAATGCTGTACAGGCTTTTCCAAATAATGTAACCACCTGGCTGTGTCTGGTTTGAGTGGTCAGTGTACAGAGCTGTTGTGCAATGTAACCTACTTCTGTTCGTTCATTTTCAGTAAGAAATGAGTGTGCTGGATTKCTTCTAAAAGCAAATGTACTTTTAAAGACTTGTAGAGATTCACCATCCTATGGAAACTTGCACCTTGGCAAATCAGAGGGGAACAAAACAGACATTTCAGGGGCAATTTCAGATACTGGAAATAATAACTCCTGGTGGCAGGTGATTTTTGTTAATGGGCAAGGGTCTGTATTACACAGAAGTGAAAAACTGAGATTGTGAGAAATGCTGAGGCAGGCTGTGTTTAAGAAAATTGCAGTAATGAGGGATTTCATTTAAGTTTTGAGCTTTGCTTTTAGATGAAGTGCCATTTTCTGTTTCCTTTTTATTTAAAGTGTGTGTATATATAAATATCTAATGACAGTTAAACTAAAAGAAACACTAGGCTGGAGTGTTCAGAAATACGCAAATATAGAAGTGTGTGCACTTTGCTTTATCTGCATTATGAAACTATTGGTATTAATTGCATGAGTCAGTTGGCACCCATTTAAGTAAGCAACCATGCATTTGTTACTACATATAACCACAGGATTTTAAGTATTGTAATTGAAATGTTTAATTATAATTGAAAATGTAGTCTCTTGAATGACTTTTTAAATGAGTTTTTAAGGTTTGATATAAGAATGAAAAAGGAAAATTAGGCTCTATTACATTTTATGCTTCACTAATTTATATCTTCTTGTAATATAAGATGTGATGCAGAGAATCATAATTTTTATTGTTCTGTAGTTTAGAAGTGGCAGGAGTGGAGCTGTAAGAGCCTTTTCTCCTGGGTGGTTTTCAGTCCAGATTCCAGCCCTAATCTCACCTGTWAAGTCAGGGATGGCCACTCTGTTACTCAGTATCCCTCTGGGGAGTCCCACTGGAATGCCAGYGCTCGTCATTTGTTCCCTTGAGTACAAAAATCTTGCTGCTGCTGTCACTAGAAGTGAGAAGGAGCCTGGCTAGACAAAGCCAYGGATTTTGGGATTCTTTAGAAAACATTGATCCATTTCACTGATATGTTGCATTGTCCAGCAGATATTTTTGATTTCCATCAGTGGATTTGACAGAAAGACTTAAAACATGACGCATGAATTAAGAGAACTAAACTCAGCCCTATCCTGATAACCAGCAACTTTCTTCAYGCATTGAAATAATGAAYGGGAATACAATCGTACCACACATTGTTGTAGGGAGTTGCTAAAATCATTGGTATTTCTAAGGTATGAAACAGTCAGGAAACCTGGCTTGACACCCAGTTTAAGAATTAGCCAGTCTACGGATCATGATTTTAAGGGGTGAGATACAAGTGAAAAAATGCCAGATTTTCTCTCTTCATAGACACCCTTGTTCATTCACCTGTGAAGATAAACTGCTGCAGTCCTCAYCATCAGCTGTGCTATGTTGGGGAGAAAGGAGACATTTCCTCAAAACATCACTGTTTCCTATCCTAAGCCACGAGTGCCTCAAGTGCCCACAAGACTGARGCCCTGCACTTCACAGTGGCCCTGTAGCAAAGAGCAAAGAGCTCTTGATCCAAACTAATTAAGTGAAGGGGGGTGGAAGGAAGCAAGTGCTTTTATTTCTGTTTGGCATGTAAAAATGGAGATTTGGAAATTTTTGCTCAGTACATCCCTGAGGTCACTGCCCTGGATTCCAGCGTGAGCTGAGAGCTCCGTGTTTCAGTTTTTTTTGGGCTATATATGGATTACCTTAATCCTYTGCACTGCTGGCATATATTGCAGCATATCCTACCAGCCTGCAAAAATTTAGCTGGTCTCAAGCACTCACTTAAAAGAAAAGTGTGGAAAAGGGTAAATGTTACAAATACAGAACTTCTTTACCCTGAACATAATGTTACCATTAAGGTCCCAGGATCACTCCATCTRTGCACCATTAATTCATTGAAACAATCCACCATAGGAGCAAGGTGGGTCACACTGTATTTCAGTGGTATTTATGTCTTTATAATTGTGTTGATGTCTGACCTGTTCTAGAACTTACCAATGTCTTCTCCTGGATTGGACAGACCTCCTGGAAATTTCCATGCATTTATAGTCTGTTGGAGGAAATATCCATTAATGAAGTAGTCAGCCTGTGTTGCACTCTTTAATACGAAGGACACAGTTAACATCTTTTTTTTTTTTTGTTGAAGTTGCAGTATTGCTATTTTACAAACATTAATAAGTAGGAACTTGTTTTTTCCTGCTGACATAATGATCAGAGACAGCTACAGTCTGTATGAACTATTGGAACAAAACATCTACTGACTGAAAATACAAACTGTCTAACAGTCATTAGACAACATTGCTGCTAGATAGAGTAGTTGAMTATTTTWAAAAAAGCTGCTACAGACTATGTAATCTTATATTTAATCACTAATGTATTCCACTTCCAYGGTTTTTGGCTTTTAAGAAATGTATATATATTTAATCTTACCAACAGGTATTATGATTGTACTGTTCTATACTGCACTGGCTTTAAGTTGTCTCTGTGTGTCTGTAATGATCCTTAARTGTAACTCGTCATTTTCATGGACTAGAATAAATGAGGGCTTGTGTGTGATTTGTGTATAGAAACAGTTATTGAATTGCAATAAAGTTCAGTATTAAAACATGAAGCTTGGTGTTGTTACTCACACTGCTAAAGGAATCCCAGTGCTGCACCTCTTGCAAGAGCATAAAGATTTGTAGGCTTTACCTTTATTTCTATGTACTTTCTATTTTTTCCTTATTGAAAGTTTATGTAGGAAGAAGTTACCCCTCAGCTAGAAATAAATGCACACTGGCCCAAAAAGTGTTTTTTTTGTCTAAGTAGCATAGCAGGGAAGCTGTATGCTTTCCAGTGATTGGAAACCTTAATGACTACATTGGAAAATGTGTTGGGTTTGGGTTTTTTTCTGGGCATTCTTAAAGGGTTGGATAGAATTTTAAAGWAATAGGTTAAAAATAGTGCACATGGAAAATATGTATATTTGTCTGTTAGCTTTCAGATTTGCTACTGGTTCCTGGAAATCTTTGTATGCTACAGAATTGTCCTGCCACAAACCCAAACAGCTCTTAAAATGCCAACAGCTGTTTAATTTAAGTTTTTTTTAACTTCAGTATCTGTTTAAGATATTTACTAAAAGGTAAATATGTGCATTTATGTTTTTGTGAATAAAAGGATAAATAAATGCTGCTTTTCTAATGTKTACAACGTGCTCTTCTGTCCCTGGAGATTCTGTAGAGCTAGAACCACTTTTGGAGTCTACAGCATGACAGGTAGGTTTGTGCTTTAACTGGTAATTGCTGAATGTAAGCCTGAAGGTCCTTCTGTAGAAAAGTCCTCAACATTTTATTGTTAGTAAAAAGATAACATTTTACTTTTATTGTAACTAAATATATAAAATACAAAAATGAAAAATGAATATCTTCAATTACAGGAAACGAGAGGGAGAGAAACACCCTTGTCTTTACCCAGCATGTGGGATCATTGATCCTGTCTAGGAAAGCACTGGTTCACTGAAGTTCATTAACTGTTGAAGTTACTAATGAAGTGATGTTTTGGATTCTGATGASGAATGTCTTAGTACCTGTTTCAGGAAAGGCAGGAAAATGCAGCCAGGGAGATGCTGGCATAGTTGTAACTGTATAAAATGAAAATTATGCATCCAAGTGTGTCAGTCTACCTAGTTAAGTTCTGATTGTTTMATGTTAAAACTGCATTAATCTCACTCTCCTAGGGACAATTTAATTTACAAATAAAAGCATAATGGAAGCTAAATGTCTCTTAAATGGAGTAGCACAGACAGTTGCCAGTGAGCCAGAG